TCGAGATGAGCCAATCCACCAATGAGACAGTTTTGCTTGTGTGTGTGTGTGTGTGTGTGTGTGTGTGTGTGTGTGTGTGTGTGTGTGTGTGTGTGTGTGTGTGTGTGTGTGTGTGTGTGTTGCAGATGAAGCATGCGATGCATCAGCTAAAGCAGCTTCAACAGTACTAGACGCAGCAGCAGCAGCAGCAGCTTCGATAGCTGCATGTGTTGCAGCACATGCAGCATTTGCATGCACCTGTTGCAGCTGCTGCTTCTGCGGCTTGTGCCACTGAAGCTGCTTTAGGTAGTGCATCATCTACATGACAAGATGCAACGACCATAGGCAGGTAAGTATCTTTGTCGCTCCCCCTTCCGCTTCGCCCTTCTTCCTCCTCCTGTCCTACCTACTCCACCATAGCCGAGGAGTAGCGCCGGCCGGTCCTTCCCAGCAGCTCCGTTGGCTCCTGCGCTGCTTCACCAACCGCTCCAGCAGCTTGAAGTTTGTGTGTGTGTGTGTGTGTGTGTGTGTGTGTGTGTGTGTGTGTGTGTGCGGAGCAGCAGTAGCTGCAGGATATGTAACTCCAGGCTGCTGCTGGTGTTGGCAGCGCCGCAGCAGGTACAACACCCGGAGTAGCGGCATCGCTTTGCTGCACGGGGTGCTGCACCCCCTGCATCAAAGCGGGTGAAGAGGGAGTCGGGGAGGGGTGGCCTCTCGCACCCAACAGAACCCCCTATGGCCCCAAACCCCTATATATATATATATAAATAAAAAAAAATAAAAAAAACAATGTTCGCGTTCGGTCGATTTTCGGACGCGTTCGCGTTCGGTCATATGCGTTCGCGTTCGCCGACCTAACGCGAACGGAATGCTACGCATATATATATATATATACAGGGTAACTGACATTCGGGACGGGCCGAACGCCCGAACCCGAACGCCCGAACGTATGGGACCCCTTGGGAATGCGTTCGGCCATTCAGGCCGAACGCCGACAAAAAAAAAAACAAAAAACCAAAAAATCAAAAAAATCTGAAAAAAAGATATGTTATGAAGAAAAATTAATTAAGCAAGTTTGCCTGAGCATTACATCCAAATTCCTTATCAAGTTTGAAATAAAAATAAAATATGAAAAACAAATACTCATAATAAAAATAACAAAAAATAAAAGAGAATTAAATTTAGCGAGTGAGCGAGCACGTTTTCGACACCGCCATCTTTGGAGATTTTTTTTTTTTTTTTTGGCAGAGCTAAATGCCCCAAAAAGTTTCAGATGTGTACTTCACATAATTCAAAAACGACTTAAAAAGTTTCAAAAAATAATAAAATTGTTTAGATCCTGAACTAAAATGCAAACGAAAAAACAAAAGTGAAAAAAAACGTGGGCAAGCATGTTTTGAGACCGCCATCTTTGGCGATTTTTTATTCTTATTTGGCTGTGCCAAGTGACTTGAAATTTTATAAGCATGTACCTCATCACAAAAAACAATTCAGAAAAAAATAAATATTTTTAGGCCCCGAAATAATTTTTGGCGGGGGACGAACGCCGTCAAGTTCGGAACCCGTACGGGACCCCGAACGCCCGTACGTACGGAGGTCTGCCTGGGGACCTCCGTACGTATGGGCTGGTGACCTTATATATACATATTTAAATTTTTTATTAGATTTGGATACTTACCGATCGGGCCAGTTGACGATGAAGTGGCCGCCCAGATCATCTGAATAATTAGGACACCTATACAGCAGTCAGGAGACTGCTGATTTTTCGGATCCCCTATGCATCACAGATGTGATAAGCCAGGACCCTTACCCAACGGCTTCCCGTACCCTTTAGGGAAGGTCCCATGTAAGCCTCGAAGTACGGATTCTAAGTGATTAGGAAGAACGGAGTTTATTTTTCCTTTTTTTCTTTTTCTTTTTCTTTCTTTTTCCTTTTTGAAGAGAGAAGAGGGACGAAAATAAAAACTTATTTTCCGAGCTGCTTCTGATGTCTTTCTCGCACGGCCAGTCAACGATTGTGCCGAAAAATCCAAGAAACAGTTAAGAATTAGTGGGGTAAGAATTTCGATTTTTGGTGCACACGGCTATTTTTTAAAAATTTTGCATGCCGCGTATACCCATTCCCTCGCTTTGCGTCCCTGCGCCATCTTCCCTCCTTGTCGCGCCTTTTCTTCTTGCGTGCCTCTTCGTCTTCCCTCGAGCAAAGTCTGATCCTCTCCTTACTTATCATCGCGAGCGATTGGCTGTGTGGTTGGGATGGTCTGATCAATGTGGTGAGAGCGGAAGGCGCGTACGACTTGAACGACCACCCCAATCACACAGATCGATCAACTCGTCTCCTTCGATCCCTCTGGAACCCTGACCCTTCTTCTGTTCTGCTCATCTACACCCCAAGCTACCCACACCCAACACTGACACCCCGCCGCCTTCCGCACTATAAATTCTCGCAACCCCTTTCTCTCGCTCTCTTTAATCTCGGCTGCAATGTTGCGCAAGCTATGCGCAAGGTCCGCAGCGTCGAGCAGGTTTGATGAGCCCCAGTGACGGGTGGAGTGACGACGTGGGGCGGGCTTAGCGATAGACTTGGGGTAAGACAGTAAGAGGGACTGAGCGGTGGTGAAGATCGGACGTTGAGAATGGCAGGGCCTCATGGCTATGGTTGTCGGTGGTTCTGACGGATTGCGGGCTGGGCTCAAGGCGGCCAGCCGTATGAGAAAATTTCTATACTAAGGAGCTCACTTTTATCTCCATTGCTGCTTTGTCCCTGTGAGATGTGTGCAAGGTCTCGATGTATGAGTATTTTGTTGTATGCATGATGTGATATGAGAGTTATGGATGTTGGATGTCTCCTTGTCCAAGAGGCCTTTATGAGTACGTGTTTGTGCGCACCTCCGGGTGCGATGATAGGGATTGCTGGGTGTCGACCATCTGCATGAGTGCATGAGTGTGTTGGTCTCTCCTTCCTTCCCCAGACCCCTTTTTGCCCTGAAGGCCACGTGTATGCGTAGGACCCCACGCCCACCTCTTCCCGGGCCCGATCCCTCCTCCCATCCGTGCGACTCAGGACTCGAGCGAAAGGGGTGCGACTTCACTCGATAACTAGAGCGATCAGCCGTTTGCGTCCTCACGACGCGGCTGATATCTCTGCGACTCGGCCGAACCCAAGATCCCCGGTCCAACACTCAGATTGACGCTGAGAGAGAGAGAGAGAGAGAGAGAGAGAGAGAGAGAGAGAGAGAGAGAGAGAGAGAGAGAGAGAGAGAGAGAGAGAGGATCAAGGCAATCGTCGCATGGAGCTCGTGTTCACCTGAGGAGATGTGAGCGCGGGTCCCTTCCCGTGCTCGACCTTCGTCTCGGTCCATCACAGCGCGCTACCGACCTTCCCCATCGTGGATGACGATAGCGTGTACTATGACGCGGACATACGGAGCGCTCTGCGACGAACCAAGCAAGCTGTGTAACCGCGTGTTCATTGAACGCGGGTTCAGTGTTCAGAAACTGAACGCAATGAACGCGCGTTTACAACATGAACGGGTTTGCGCAGGTAGAAAAGTTGGGGGGAAGAGGTGGGAGGTGGGCTGGTTCGGCAAGTGGGGGTTGTGTGGGGTCGGGAAGGGGGGTTTAAGGGGGGGGAAAGGAAAAGTTGGAAAACAGAAAAAAAAAGAAAAACAAAAGTATCAGACCCATACTTGCTGCGCATCGCATGCGCGAGGGAGTGCCACTGTGCCACATGCAACATGCAACGCAGAGCGCAGGCGAATGCACGCACACGCACGTGATGCGGCACATCCAAAAAAAAAAAGAAAAAAAGAAGTTCAGGGTAGGGTGGCCAAACACTCCCCTCACTTCTCAAATTAAGAAAGCAAGAGGGAGAAAAGTCAGGGCCACACCATACCCCAAAACAGGCATGCAAGCATTCATGTCCTTTTTTTGTCCAACCTCTTTACTAAGGGGCCCTTACAGCAAATTAGCTAGGACCCCACGTGCGGTAGAGGTGAACTTCAAACTTCAACATGCCAGCGTGAGCAGAGAATATATAGTATGGACTCGAATTCAGGTCTGTGAATCTCGGTTATGGGTCACTATTCTCTTTTTTCTTGTTTTCTTTTCTTTAATACGTGCAGTGGCCCTGAGGGCCTTTATTCACCACATGCACAAAAGACAAAATATATGGCGGTGTATTATTCCACGTTCTGCAGAAGATTCACTCTAATTTTTCTTTTTTCTCCTTTTCTTTTTTCTGTAGAAGATTCCATGTTCTTTTTACGCGTTTTCACGGCCTAGCTACGTGAGAAACCCATAACTGCTGAAACACAGACCTTAATTTGAATCCTGGGTATATATTCGGCCAGCTCGTGCTGAACTCCATACTCGCTGGCTGGCAGTTTCAGCCTCGAGTTTGGTGGAGGGTCTGCGCTTTATTGCTGTGAGGACCCTCCCGATTGCCTGTATCGGCCCTCTGAGCCGTGCTAAGGGGATCCTCTGCTCTCTCTCTCTCTCTCTCTCTCTCTCTCTCTCTCTCTCTCTCTCTTCTCCCACCCCCACCCCTGGTATACAAACATACCCATAAAATAAAAAAAAATAAAAAGGATTGAGCGCATGGGTGTGTGTGTGTGCATATGTCTGTGTGTGTATGAGTGAGCGCCTCGATTCTCAGAACTCTCTCGCAACGTGGGCACGCTTCCGACTAACTTTCCAACCTGGGTTCCCTCGACCCGCCCTGCCCCAGGCGACCCCGCGCAAGGTCATCCGCGTGGGCTCAATGAGTCTGGCTCCGAACCCTAAAACTTAATTCTAGGACGACTGCCTGAAGGGCCGCACGAACCAAGTGTACCAGAGAGCGGAAAAACTCCGCTCCCTCGCCCTCCTTTTTTGTTTAATTACACTTGCTTTCCCTTTTTGAGTTTTTGTTGACGGTCCCTCTGGAACGATTTGTTCCTCCGTCGCTTGCACTCAACGACGGATGGAACCCCCAACAAGACAACCCTCAGTCCGGAACAAGAAACCCCTGTTTCGTCCGGATGATTCCACCCCACAGCCAAAAATCCTCAGCCACACTGCAAAACCCTCTTTAATGAGGGTTGCAATCTGCGTGCTCTTTTGGAGGACCAGTTGGAGGGCGATATTGATGGGGAGGAGGCGCACGTCGCAACAGAGGTAACAGCGTTAACATCAAGACCAACAATAACATCAAGACCAACAATAACATCAACAACAACAACAACAACAACGACAACAACGACAACAACATCGACAACAACATCGACACCGGTGATATTGGGGGTTGTGAAGTCAACAAAGGTCACAACGCCAATACCGATCACAAGAACGACATCAATGATCGCGGCGCCTGCAGTGTTGGCAGCGGCAATAACAACAGCGACAACAACACAACCAAAAACAATAACGACAACGACAACAACGATAGCGACAACAACAACATCAACAACAACAACAACAACAAAAATAACAGCAACAGCAACAACAGCAGAGGTGACGACAACGGAGGCAACAATAACAACAACAACAACGACTACTACTACTACCTTCCCCCCCTTCTGCGTGGTGTCTCTCCCTGTTGATCCGCTTATCTTCGCTTCACAGCGGGTGGGAGTGGGATAAACGACGACCCTCCATTGATTTGGGTTGCCTGGCCTTCAATCCCCAATCATGATAAGGTGTAGGGGTAGGTTGTTTAGGGTTTCGTGCATGGGTGCGTTTTCGCTGTTGGGGTTCTTGATGGAGATGGTTTTACTTGGGGTCTTGGTTATGTACACAGGAGGTCAATCCTTCCCTTCTCCAAGGAAGTAATCAATGCCTTCTGCTCTATGGGGAGATATACAAACTTAATGAACAACCTCACATATCATCGGATGCATAGTATGGCATACTTTCACATCATTGTATAAGGGACGTTGGACCCGATTTCCAGCTGACACATGTTATTGTACAGGGACGCTGGTCCCGATTTCCAGCAGGTGTAGCTCCCCACCAATAGATGGAGCCTACAGCGTTGGGACCCACTTAACGGGGCTGCTCTTATCACCTCGTTAAGTGGGTTTTTCCGCATATGAAGTTCTTAAAAAAAAAAAAAAAAACAAGCTGTACGCTCAAACCGCCAGTACCTTTCCCATGCAAAAAAGAATGCCCGCCGGTTAAAGCACTAGTACCTTTCCCGCGTGGGAAAATAGGGAAAACTGGCAGTTTTTCCAAACTCCTGAATTTTCGGAGGTCGGGCCCGACGACGAATGCCATTGATAAATCTGATCGAGGACCGTCGTTTCGTTTCGGCCTCTGAAAAGGTCGAACGCCTACCTGAGGCCCACTATTTTTCCAAGCAGCATTCCTGCGTGGAAAAATAGGGAAAACTGG